TCCCGGCCCGCGGCCGCTCCCCGATTCCCGGCGGCGGCTCCGGGGGTCGCGCGGCTGCGGCGGGTCCCGGCGCGCGGCTGCGGCTGAGGGAGGAGCGCGGCGGCGGCGGCCCCTCACGCCGCCCTGGGAGCCGCCATCTTGCGCCTGTGTCCGGCGGCCGCGGCGGGTGGGCGGGAAGCGACGGGAGTGGGCGGGGCCAGCGCGGACACGCCCCCTCCAGACCCGGGCGGCGCCATCTTGGCCGGGGACGGGGGGCGACATTGTGGGGAGGGCGGGAGGTGAGGAAGCGGCGGCATTTTGGGACGGGGACCAGGAGGAGTTTCACCGTCATCTCGGGGGCTCCCGGGCCCGACCCGACGGCGGGGGGGGCCGGAACGAGCGAAGGAGGGACGCGGGGGGGACTGTACGGAGCCGCCTGAAGGGGTGCGGCCATGGCGCCAACGGAGGGGGTGTGGTCACGGGAGGGCGTGGCCACGCCCACTTCAACCGCCTCTTAAAGGAGCCGCCCCCCCTAGCCCGCCTTTTACGCGGTTTCCCCCCTTCTCGCCCTCCCTGAGCGCCGCCATGCCCCGGTACCGCCCCCTCCCAGCCTTCGCGTGGCCCCGTGATCGCTCCCGGATATTCCCGGCCTCACTCCCCCGCACACACCGAATCCCCCGCGGCCTGGCTACCGGCGGCGCGGCCCGTTTCCCGACGGCGCAGCGCTGTACGGAGCGCTCAGCCCGCCATGGGCGCCGCCATCTTAAGCGCCCCGCCTCTCTTTGGGTGCCGCCCCCTCCGCAAACCGCGCCTCCTCCTCCTCCTGTGCTCCGGGCGGCTCCCGCTCTCCCCGCCGCCCCCCGGGGTTAACGGGATGCCGGAGCCGCTCTGAGGCCTCACGACCCCGCAGCTCCGAGCGGCTCAAACGGGCTGGGAATCCCTGGCGCTACCATCGCCCTCCGCCCCCCGGACTCTCAAGATGGCGGCGCGCGGGACCCGGATGCGCCGGCCCCTCCCAGAATGGCGCCCCGGGGCGGTGGGGGGGGAAGCACCCGGATGTCGGCGCACGGCGCCGCCATGACACCCCGCACGTCCCCTCCCAAGATGGCGCCGCCCATCCGGCGGAACGGATGGCCAGTGTCGGCCCTCACGGGCCCCCCGTGCTTCCTACCCTCCATGCCGGCGCTCCCCGCTTCATTCCGCCCTTACCGGGTGCGGCTCCGCTACCGCAGCGGCTCCAAGGCGGCGGAGCGGCCTGTGCCCGGGTGCGCGGGGGAGGGGTCACAAGATGGCGGCGCGCTGCTGTGGGAAGGGGGGGGTCCAAGATGGCGCCGCCCGGTGCCCGGATCTTCCTCCTCCTCCTCCTTCTCCTCCTCCTCTTCCTTCTCCTCGCCGCGCTCACAAGATGGCGACGCCTGCCCGGGACGGGAGCGGAGCTTTGGGTGCTCCCCGCGCTCTTCGCTCAGGCCCCGCCGCCCCCTCCTTTCGTCCCCCCTCCGGGATAGCCCCGATGCGGAGCCCCAAGATGGCGCAGGTGGGAGCCAGCAGCTCCGCGGCGGCCCAAGATGGCGGCGGCCGGGGGACCCGGATGCGCCGATCTCCGCGCCGCTCCGCCACCGCTCCGCACCTGCAGCCACCCGCCGCCCACCGACCCCGGGCGTCGCTTTCTGCCGCCGCCGCCGCTCGCTCCGGGCCGCCGCTGCCTCACTGAAAGCCAAGAAAGGCCCGCCCGCTGCGCCGACTACTGGCGCTTGGGAGCCGCCATTTTGGACGCGTCTCCTCCACCCGCTACAAAGATGGCGCCTGCCAGGCCCCGGATGGTGGCGCTTAACGGCTGCGGCGCTCACTGCGCGTGCGCAACCGCGCCGGTCGTAATGGCGCATGCGTAGCTCCACCTTCTTCTTGCGCATGCGCTCTTCCGACTAGTAACGGACTTTTGTTCAAACTCCCGAATTTGGCGCTTTTCGCCCCAGTTTTGCCCTTCCGGGACCCCAAAATGCATGGGGAGAAGAGAGGAGGAGAGGGGGTGGTTCCTCTAGAGGGGGTTCGGGATGAAGGTCCCAGAGTTCGGGAGATTTTGTGGAAGATTTGGGGAGTTTTGGTGTGTTCACTCCCCCAGCTGGCTGTGAAACAGCCTCCAGGTGTGACAATAAACCCTCAGGTGTGAAACAGCCTCCAGGTGTGACAAGGACGTCCCCCGAGGGGTCTGGGAGGAGGATCCGGCGGTTTTGGGTTTTTTTCCAAAGGGGGTTTGAGCCCCCCGCCAAGCCAGAAATGAGTCTGGGGGTGCCTCCAGCAACCTCAGGGGGCCCAGGGCTTTCTGGGGGGGAATGTTGGTGTTCCCAGTCTGTCCCAGTCTATCCCAGTCCCGCCCAGAGTCAGCTCTGCTGCATTCCAGTCCTCCCCAGTGCGTTCTAGCTCGCTCCAGCGGTGTTCCCGTCTCTCCCAGTCCCACCGCCTCCATTCGGGCGGTCCCGCCCCCGGGCCCTCCCCACGGGGCGCCGCCATTTATGGTGTGGCGGAAGCTCCGCCCCTCGTGGTTACCACGGGAACGGCGCCATCTTGAGTGTGGCGGGGCCGCCTCCGGAGGCGGGAAAAGGGGCGGGGCCTGAGCGTTCTTCCCGCCCCGATCCCGCGATGACGTCATAGTGATGGTGACGTCGTAAGCGCGAAAAGCGTCGTGGGTGTGACGTCACAGCTGCCAGGACATTCCTGAGGGCCGAGGGAGCGGGGAAAGGGCGGGGGGACACCTGAGACCCCGTGAGGTCTCACGGGATGGGGTCAGTGACGTCATCTGAGGGAATCCAGTGACGTCATCCAGGGGATCTGGTGGGGAGATCCTCGATCCACCCCCCGACCCCAAAAGGGGGGTCCCAAACCCCGCTGGGGACCCCAAATCTCCTGTGTGGGAACCCAAAACCCATCAGGGCGGGTCCCAAATCCCCCCGGATGGATCCAAACTCAGCTGGGGGGTCCCAAAACCTCCTGAGGGGACCCCAAATCAGCACGCGCAGGGGTCAAAATCCACGCAGGACCCCCAAAAATCAGCACCCAGGTACCCAAAACCTCCTCTGGGGGTTCCCAAATACACCCAGGTGGATGCAAACCTACCCGGGGAGAGCCCAAAATCAACACCTGCAAGGCCAAAAAGCACTTGGGAACCCCAAAATCCACCTGTGAGGGTCCCAAATTCAGCCGGGAGGATCCCAAATCCATCTGGGAAGATCCAAAACCCACCTGGGGACCCCAAAATCAGCACCTGGGAACCCCAAATTCACCTGGAAAGATCCGAAACCCACCTGGGGGAAGTCCTAAATCCACCTAGCTGGACCCAAAACCCAACTGGGGAGAAATTTTTTTTTTCCAAAAACTACCTGGGATCCAGGACCCCCCATTTGGGAGTGACCCAGCCCCATCCCCCTCCGCCGGCCCGAGGAGGGGCTCTGGGGGTCCGGGGGGTCCCGGGGGGGTCCGGGGGGGTCTCGGGGGGTCTCGGGGGGTCCGTGAGCGGAGCCAAAGAAGCGGCGGAGGCGGCTGAGGGTTACACAGATTTATAATCGCTGGATCACGCGCAGCAGCAGCAGCAGCAGCACAGACACAGACCCGGGGGGGCGGTTGGGGAGGGGGGAGGGGGGGTTGGGGGAATTTTGGGGGGGGTTTAAGTTGGGGGGAGGGGGAAGTGCGGCGCCGTTTGGGACCCCCCTCCCCCAAAAACAACCGACACCGAGGGGCTTTTCCGGAACTTTATAAGGCAAAAAACGTCTCGAGAGAATAAATAGGTTTGGGGGGCGGGGGGGGCCCCCCAAAATTCCCCCCATGGTGGTGCCCCTCCCCCCCATGGGACCCCTCCCCCACATGGGCCCCTCCCCCCATTGGGGGTTTGCTCTCTCTGGCCGCCCCTCCCCCCCGTTATTGCCGTGAGGAGCCGGGGGGGGGTCGGGGACCCCCGGGGGGGGCGATGGAAGAACGGGGGGGGCACAAGGGGGGGGGGACCCCGACCCCTCCCCTGCCCCCTCCCCAAATTGGGTAAAGTGCAGGATGGGGACCCCTCCCCCACCCCGGGATGGAATTGAGGGGGAGGGGCAGGACCACCCCCCCCCCCCACAAAGGGTTAAATGGATCGCCCCGTGCTCGCTCCTGATTGGTTCCCGAGAGGACCACACCCTCATTTCTGATTGGCTCCAGACTGGATCCCAGCTCCACCCACGCTCGATTCTGATTGGCTCTGGACCAGATCCCAGCTCGGCTGCGATTGGTTTCGTACCAGATCCGACACTTGTTCCTGATTGGCTCCAGACCAGATCCCGCCCCCAACTCTGATTGGCTCCAGACCGGATCCCGGCTCTCCCTGTGCTCTCTCCTGATTGGCTCTGGACCGGATCCCACCCTCAGTCCTGATTGGCTCCCACCGTGCCCATGGCCTCTCCTAATTGGCCGTGACCAGATCCCCCTCCCCAGCATGGAGCAACCCCATTGGGCGGGGGCTGGACCCGCCCCTCCAATCCAAACCACTCCTGATTGGATCCCGGCCGGGCCCCGCCCCTGCCCGGAGTCACTCCCGAGGCCGGATCCGGCCCCGCCCCCACAGGATCTCAGCCCTGATTGGACGGCGCCGACCACCCGGTCCCTGATTGGCTCCTGACTCGATCACGCCTCCATCGGGGGGATCCGGAATCCGCCCCGCCCCCCTCCAGATCGCACCTCCTGATTGGCCAAACACTGGATCCCAGCAGAACCCAAGGTTGCTCCTGATTGGCTCCGGGCCTGATCCCGCCCCTCCTAATTGGCTCTACACCGGATCTTGCCCCCACAGTGCCGCTCCCATTGGCTGAAGGCCCGGCCCCGCCCCCTCGCGATCCCGCCCATCCTGATTGGCTACGGACACCAGATCCCCCACGGACCGATAGCTGCTGATTGGCTCAAAATCCGACCCCCAATAAAGTCACACCTGATTGGCTCAACACCACACCCCTCCTCCTCAGTCGCTCCTGATTGGCTCCACACCAGATCCCACCCCCGCCCAGCGCTGCTCCTGATTGGCTCAGCCACCGATCCCGGCCGAACCCACCGCTCCTCCTGATTGGCTCCACACCAGACCCCGCCCCCTGCCACCACACCCCCTCTCCTGATTGGCTCCACGCTGGATCCCTGCCCCCGATTGGCTGCCGTCTCAGCCCCGCCCCCCCCTCCCTCAGCAGCGCCGCTCCCCATTGGCCGCCGGCCGGATCCCGGCCACGCCCCCTCCCCTCCCCCATAGTGCAAATGGTTCCCACGGGCGGAAAACGCGAACGGAACTGGAAGAACGAGAAAAGCGGCGCCGGGGGAGGGGGGAAGACGCGGCCCCGCCCCCTCCCCCCCCCAAAACAACCCCTCCCAACCCCGCCCAACCTCGGGGGGGGGCCCTGGAGACCCCCCCTCTTCAAAAAGTGCAAAGTGGGGGGGTCCGGGGTCCCTCGCTGTGCTTGTCGGTAATAAAAATTCAGGGGGGTGGGGGGAGCATGGAGGAGTGGGAAACCCTGGCAGGGGGGGCTCGTTTTGGGGGGTGGGGGTTCCCCACTGCCTCGTGAAGGGGTCGGGGGGGTTAGGGCGGGGAGGTGGGGGGGGGCCCATCCGTGTGTCCGTCCGTCCGTCCGTCCGTCCGTCCGTCGGTCCGTGCGTTCCCCCGCGGCCGCTCACAGTCAGCTGACCCGCTCGGGCACAGGCGTCCGCGTGTCCACCGGCTCCTCGCGGGCCGGGGGCCGCGGCACGGCCACGCTGGGGGGGGGCGGGGGCGGCGGCGGCGCCGACGAGGACGACGAGGAGGAGGAGGAGGAGGAAGAGGAGGATGAAGAGGTGGAGGAAGAGGAGGCAGAGTCTTTGTGCTCGGGCTCCCCTCGGTGTTTGAAGGGCGGCGACGGCGGCAGCGGCGGCGGCGGGGGCTGAGTCTTAGGGGGCTCCTTGGTGCAACCGTCGGGGGCCGCGGGACCCCCCCTCTGCTCCGAGCACCCGCTCAAGTCCTGGGGGGGCGGCGGCGGCGGCGGCGGCGGCGGGGGCGGCGGGGGGGGGTGGGGGGGGGGGGGGGGGCGGGGGGGGGGGGGGCGCGGGGGGAGCCCCCCGCCCTTTGGGGCTGCCCTCCTTGCTGCGCCGGCCGGGGCTCCGGGCGCTGCGGGGGCCGCGGGAGCCCGGCGGGGTCGGCGGCGGCCGCGGCGTCGTCGTCGTCGTCGTGGCCGTGGCGGTCGCCGCCATTGTCACGGGTTCCACCACCACCGTCTCCCTCGTCTTCCTCTTCTTGATGGGCAGCACGGTTTCCTGCACGGCCGGGGGAGTCGCCGCCTTCTTGTCGGGGCCCCCCGGCCCCCCCGGCCCCGTGGCCCCCGCCGGTTTGCGCCCGCGTTTCTTGGGCACGGCCGGACTGTCCGGCTCGGCCCGGCGCTTGCGGCCCGGCCGCCGCGGGGCCGGCGGGGCCGCGGGGCCCGGCTGGCCGGGGGCGAACGGCATCTTGACCAGCAGCTTCCCTGGGGGCTTCTCCAGCGCGCGTTTGGCCGCAGAGCCCCCCTCGGACACGGCCGTGGCCGCCTTGGGCCGGGAAGCGCCGCTGCCGCCGCCGCTGCCCTTGGGCCTGCCCCGGCCGCGGCCGGTACCGGGGCCCTTGGGCGACTTGGGCTTCTTGGGCGGGCGCTGCTCGCGGCGTGAGGGGCTCCCCCGGCCCGTCACCGTGAAGTCGAAGTCGTTGGGGTCCAGCGAGGTGTCCCCCACCTTCTCGAAGTAGGCGATCAGCTCCACCTTGGAGCGGAAGGCTTTTCCCTGCGGGCTGCGGACGGAGAGCGGACGGTCAGCGAGCGGCCAGCGCCAGTGACCACCCCACCCTCACCTCCCCGGGCCTCACTTGATCAGGTAGACGTCGTACTTGCCGGCCGAGCGGCCGGACTTGCGCTGCTTGAGCTTGCGTGTCCAGCCCTCGGGCAGCGTGGGGTCGTCGTACATGGGCCCGCGGTCGCGGATGATGGAGCGCCGCTGTTTCGGTGACGCCGAAGCTTCCGGCGCCGCCGGTGCCGCCCCGGCACCCTCCGAGCTCTCGGCCTTGCCGGCCTCGGCGGGCTCGGCCGCGGGCTGCGCCGGTTCCGGCTCCTTGCCGGATTTTTTGGGCTTCTTGGCCTTGGGCGGCCGCTGCAGGTTCTCCTCGGATTTCTCCTCCCTGTGGGGACACGCAGGGGTCAGTGCGGGGTGCGGGAGAGGGTCAGCGGTGGACGCACGGACAGGATGGACGCGGGGATGTGGACCCCGCGGGGGCTGGATGTGAATGGGTCAGTGCTGGACACATGGACAGGGCCCCGGACACAGCACTGGTCAGTGCCGGCTGCACGGACCCGATGGACACACGGACACGGCCCTGGGGATCCCTGGACACAGCACGGGTCAGCAGTGGACACACGGACACGATGGACACACGGACACGATGGACACACGGACACGGCCTCACAGATCCCCAGGCACGGAACGGACCAGCACTGGACACACAGACACAGCCGTGGTCAGTGCTGGACACACGGACACCGATGGACAGGGCCCTGCACCTCTCTGGACACAGCCGTGGTCAGTCCCGGACACACAAACCCCGACAGACAAACGGACACCACTGGACACACGGAATGGGGTGAAACGGTTCCGAATTGGGCAGGACTGGCCAGAGCCAGGAGGAGGAGGAGGAGGAGGAGGAGGAAGGAGGGGCAGCCGGCCAGGCGGGAATTACGGCCACGGCCGGAACATCCCAGAGCTGCTCAGTCCGTGGCGTGGGGGGCACGGAGGGGACGGGGGCTCGGCGTGGACACGGCTCCGGCCAGGCGGGACATCCCCAAAGCCCGTCCTGGCTCGGCCACCCGAGTGTCCGGCAGCCCCGTGTCCACCCCGCCGAGTGACCGGCACTAAAACCAGCCCCGGGGGTCGTGGCCAGTGCGTGGGGACACCGGGGCTGTCACCGGACCCCCGTGTCGGTGTCACCACGGATGGGACCCCTGGGGGAGGGGAGGAATTTGGGGTGGGGGGCTGGCGTGGGACCCCCGTCCTCGGTGTCACCGCTGTCACCGGCACGGGGGTCCCGTCCTGGCGAGGGAACACAGACAGGTGAGGCTGGGGGAGGGGAGGGGCGGGACCCCTGCTATGGGGTCGGTTATGGGGTGGGGAGGGGGATGTAGCCCCACTCAGGACCCCCAGCCTGTCCCCATTCCTGAGGTTTATTCCCAGAGGCCCCCTAGCCCAAATTTGGGGCTGAAAGTCGCAAAAACGGCACAAAGAAAACTTTGGGAAGGGGCACGGGAATGTCGGGGTGAGAGGCGTTGGGGACAGGGGGGTGACCCCAGGGACCTCCCACCCCCCCCGGGCCTTGGGGGTCTCAGGGGGTTTGGGGTGGCCTCGGGGTTGAGGGTCTGAGGTGGCCCTGGGGGTCTCTCGGTTGCCTTGGGGGTCCCAGGGGGGTCTGGGGTGACCCTGGGGGGTCTCTTGGTGGTCTGGAGCAGCCTCAGGGTTGAGGATCCCAAGTGGCCCCGGAGGTCTCGGGGTAGCCACAACCCTGGGCGCAGCAAAGGCGGGCGTGAGGAACCAAATTTTGGGGTGTTCCGGGGAAACGTGGGCGATTCGGGCGGAATTTGGGAAATTTCGGGGTGATTTGGGGGCGATTGGTGAGATTTCGGGGAGTGAGGGCAGTTCCAGGTGGGATTGGGGGGAATCTGGGGGGAACCCGAGGGGTCGCGGCAGCGCGGCCGTTCTGGGGGAATTCGAGGCGTCTTTGGGAGCAGCGTGAGGGGAACATTTGGGGCAATTCTGGGTATTTTGGGGCTCAGCACGGCTGCTGCATTTTGGGGGAATTCAGAGTATTTTGGGGTAACTCGGGGAGTTTGGGGGAGCTGCATGAGCGCAGCAGTTTGGGGAAATTTGGGGGATTTCAGGGTAAATCGGGGGGTTTTGGGGGACGCCCCATGAGCTGCACTTTGGGGCAGTTCTGGGTATTCGGGGGCACGGCGTGAGCGCAGCGACTCGGGGAAATTTGGGGGAAAATCGAGGGTTTGGGGCGTGCAGCCTCAGCAGCATCTTGGAGCAATTTTGGACATTTTGGGGTGGCGCACGAGCACGGAATTTGGGGGCAATTCAGGGGATTTCGGGGTAAATTGGAGGGATTTGGGACGCGGTGCGAGCAGCAGTTTGGGGCGATTTTGGGTATTTCGGGGACAGCATTTTGGGATAACTCGGGGGGTTTGGGGGCTCAGCGTGAGGAGCAGTTTGGGGCGTTTTCGGGTATTTCGGGGCGCAGCATTTTGGGGCAGTTCGGGATATTTTGGGGCGCCACGTGCACGCAAGAATTTGGGGCAGTTTCGGGGCGCAGCATTTTGGGGAAATTCGGGATATTCTGGGGTAACCCGGGCGACTTTGGGGCACCGCGTGAGCGCGGCAGCTTGAAGCAAATTTGGGTATTTTGGGGCGCAGCGCAAGCATAAAATTTTGGGGCGACTCGGGGTGTTTCGGGGTGACTTCGGGGGGGTTTCGGGGTGACTTCGGGGGGGTTTCGGGGTGACTTCGGGGGGTTTGGGGTAACTCCGGGAATTGGGGGTGACTCGGGAGGTTTCGGGGTGCCCCTGGGGGAGGCTGGGGGTGACTCGGCGAGGATTTTGGGGTGACTCCGGAGAGGGTTTCGGGCGCTTTTGGGGGTGACTCCCGGTGCTCGGCGCGCGCGGGACGGGCGGGGGGTGTGTCCCCTTGTGGGGGGCGGGGGTCCCCTCA